GGTGGTGTCTGTTCAGTCTAATCAGGGGTGCAAGAGGGGGCTTCGAGGTTGGCTAGTTTTGGCATCAAAGCACAAGTCCCTACCTCCACTTTAGTCCTGCTAGAACACTGTCCCTCCTGCTGAAGCCGAACCCTCCATCCTACTGCATTAGTCGCATCACAAGGAGAAACATTTCAGAGTCACTTGACATTACACAGCCAATCACATTTAGTGGATGGTCCGCAGTAGTCATAGGTGAAAGCATGTGAAGCACATTAGCAGCCATCTCTCTACAGTCTCTCCTCTGCCCAGGGTCATTAGTACTCACAGGACTGTGCTCTCTGTAGACAACTCCCTTCTAGGTACATCTCTCTTTGGAAACATCCAGGGAAGTAGAATCCCATGGATCTCCAGCCTGGCCTACAAGGCCTTTTGCAATCTGCCCTAGCCCCCATCTCCATAATAGACAGAATGGCTACAGCTGGCGGCTCTTGCATACAGTCCACTTCTCCCAGCCTCCTCCAAGTGTGCTGGCTACATTCTTACAGATGTGGGTTGCCCCAAGAAAGTGTGTGTTGCTTCCCACCTAGCTTATATGTGGGTGCTGACTCACCTCTGACATCACTGAGAGAGGGCTCTACCTGAACAGGGCCCAACACTTGGTGTCATTACCTGCTGTACCAGACACTATTCTAGTACAGAGCCACCTAGTGATGAAGTAGCTAACTGCACCCTAGATGGAACCTTAGAGGGGACCCTAGATGGAACCCCTGCTAGGATGGATCAGAACAGGATGAGAAAGAGACATTCATTTCCATCCTGGTTTTTCCTCCATGGAAAAAAATGGACCAACTCTCTGCTGCTCTTCTCCAGCCAAAATCTTGCTCTTTTCTCTCCTGCTGCCATCTGTATGATCAGTACTCCTCATTACTGACCTTGGCTTGTTCCCCTCAACTATGCTTTTGCGCCATCCCAATGTGCAACCATTCATGACCAACCTTTGGCTTGTGCCTCGAATATACTTCTGCTAGATCCCAACCTACAACCTCTTATTACTGACCTTTGGCTTGTTTACTGACTACTCTTCTACTTGATCCCTACCTGCTATATCTGCTACTGAACCCTTGTTCACATCCTGGTGGGGCGATCGTGAGGACCGAAACCTGGCATTAGCATTCAACAAAACTCATCTCCACCATCAGGAGCTCTGGTGAACACCAGTTAGTGCTTGGACCACAAGCCTCGGGTGAGCTCACGTCTTCAGCCTGGGTGACCTGCTCATGTACTCACCTTGCTGGTCAGTGGGAACCTCTCTTCTGCTATTGCTACTGGTCTCTAAACCTAACCCCTGACCATGACTACACCACTCCTGTTGCTCCATTCATCCCCCTAGCACTGGGTTCACTTTACACTAGTTCGACAACAATATGTATTACAAAAAGTCATTGACATCAATTAACCAACTGATCCTAACCCAACCCTTCGCAATCCAGATCCACAGCATTATTAATGACTAATTACAAGACAGAAAACTGAATATGATGGTTTATGGAAATTTGGTTTTAACATTTTTTTATAAATATTTTTGAAACCCATTATTCTGCATGCGCCCCTTGTACATTTTTGCATTATGCAGGAGCTTGATGAACTCAATGGCCAGAGTATCTTCATGATACTGAATTTTGTACCCTTTGCCACTCAATGGCCGAGATCCTTCCATAACAAGGCTGTAATGTCTAGTAAGACTTCCAGCTTCGACCTCAATGTTTTTCAAACAAACAAAAAAAAAACTATTTCAAACTACTATACAATATTACATTTATTAAGTCAACTGAGATGCAACATGATATAAGCTATGTTATGCACCAGAGGTACAGTACATTGTTATCATAAAGTCTAAGTCCAGGAAATCTGAAAATTCTCCTCTTACAGTGAGGCTTTTACTGGTCCGATCCTCTGTTCTCCCCCATGCTCTGGTGGTGCACTGTCCCTTGGTGTCATCACATCCAATGCAGGGCTATGGACATTGATGATGTGAAGACCTTAGATAGCTGGAGCATGAGGAAGAAGACACTGACCAATCTAGCAATGTGGAGGATTGGGTAAGTAAATCTACTCTTTAATGCCCCCTAGAACCAAAGGAGCAATTAACCCTTGGAGTGTAGGCAACGCCGAACTGCGAGGGAGATTTCTCAAGTTTCCTGGAGTTGGGCTTTTAAAGGACTGCACGCTGGTAAGATGCAATACATTAAAATATTCTAAACTTTTTTTTAAATGTTGGCTAGAGAAGGGGATGGTGACAAAAATGTTGTTTTTGTCATCTTTGTCCCATTGGGAAGATTTTCCCCTGCTTCCTGTCCTCTAGAAACAGAAAATGAGAAGACATTTATTCAGTGTGGGAAAACCCCTCTTAGACAGTTGTCACTGGTACATTTATTCACATTGGGATTTATTCCTGTTCTGGTGAGAACTCAAAATTTGGGATTTTCTCTGAGTGGTCACCAGGACCAATAGGGTGAATAACAGAGACAGAAAAAAACTAAACCCGACAGGCCTTTTAACCCCTGACTAACCTATATAAATCTGTAAATAAAACCAAATTTTGGCTTTAACACTGAACTCTAAGAATAACAACTGTGTGAAGTTTCATTGGGCCAGCTTGGTTCGACATAACACTATATTGCCAAAACTATTGGGGCCGCCTGCCTTTCCACACACATGAACTTTAATGACATCCCAGTCTTAGTCCGTAGGGTTCAATATTGAGTTGTCCCATCCTTTGCAGCTATAACAGCTTCAACTCTTCTGAGAAGGCTGTCCACAAGGTTTAGGAGGGTGTCTATGGGAATGTTTGACCATTCTTCTAGAAGCACATTTGTGAGGTCAGGCACTGATGTCGGACGAGAAGGCCTGGTTCGCAGTCTCCACTCTAATTCATCCCAAAGGTGTTCTATGGGGTTGAGGTCAGGACTGTGTGCAGGCCAGTCAAATTCCTCCACCCCTAACTCACTCATCCATGTCTTTATGGACCTTGCTTTGTGTACTGGTGCTGGAACAGGAAGGGGCCATCCCCAAACTCTTCCCACAAAGTTGGGAGCATGAAATTGTCACAAAATGTCTTGCAGGCCAGTCAAGATCTCCACCCCAAACTCGCTCACCCATGTCTTTATGGACCTTGCTTTCTGCACTGGTGCGTAGTCATGTTGGAACAGGAAGGGGCCATCCCCAAACTCTTCCCACAAAGTTGGGAGATTGAAATTGTCCAAAATGTCTTGGTATGCTGACGCCTTAAGAGTTCCCTTCACTGGAACTAGAGGGCCAAGCCCAACCCCTGAAAAACAACCCCACACCATAGCCCCCCCCCCTCCACCAAACTTTACACTTGGCACAATGCAGTCAGGAAAGTACCGTTCTCCTGGTAGCCACCAAACCCAGATATGTCCATCGGATTGCCAGAACAGAGAAGTGTGATTGGTCACTGCAGTGAACATGTCTCCATTGCTCTACAGTCCAGTGGCGGCGTGCTTTACACCTCTGCAGCTGACGCTTTGTATTGGAATTGGTGATGTAAAGCTTGGATGCAGCTGCTTGGCCATGGAAACCCATTCCATGAAGCTCTCTACACACTGTTGTGCCAATCTGAAGGCCACACCAAGTTTGGAGGTCTTTAGCTATTGACTCTGCAGACAGTTGGCGACTTCTGCGCACTGTACGCTTCAGCATGCGCTGACCCCGCTCTGTCATTTTACATGGCCTACCAGTTGGTGGATGAGTTGCTGTTGTTCCCAGTTGCTTCCACTTTGTTATAATACCACTAACAGATGACTGTAGAATATTTAGTAGCAAGGAAATGTCACGGATGGGCTTATTGCACAGGTGGCAACCTATCACAGTACCAAGCTTGGAGTCACTGAGCTCCTGAGAGTGATCCATTCTTTCTCCAATGTTTGTAGAAGCAGTCTGCATGCCTAGGGGCTTGATTTTATACACCTGTGTCCCCGCTGGGGAGGGGATACTGAAAATGACTGAAGTACATACGGTAAGAGGCACGATCTTCAGGATTCTGTAAGTGCATCTCTCCCTCTGAACAAACAGGCCTTCTCACTCACCACCATCACCATTCACAGATCAGCTTGTATTTTTTTCTTATAATAATTTTTATTTCAATAAAAGGTATAGATGCCAATATTAGAACATATGCTACCTTGTATTTTTTTTTCAATAATTCAAAGAATGCTCTGATTGGATGAAGTGATGATCATGAGGTCACTGCCCCTCCTTCTTTGCCTTGTCTAATCAGTGAATGCCTTGTATTTATTGGAAAAAAATACAAGGCGTTCTATGAATGGTGGAGGTGCTACTAATAGCGCAGAGCAGGACCAGTGCCATCAAACTGATAGCTCAGATTAAGGGCTCTTTCACACTAACCATTGGGGAGCAGTAAAATCCTGTGATTGTGATGTAGTTTTATCTACCCCCCCCCCCCCCCCCCACTCGCTTCCCCTTTTTTAGATGCAGAGGCAGCAGCTGAGGGTGCCATGGCAGGAATTATACCCCCTGTGGCTTTCAAGTTAATGAGGCTACTCTGCAACCATGATCAATGTGCTAGTGCAGGGTCCAAAGGGTTAAAGAAAGTGGCGAGGAGGTGATATATAGCCTCTGCTTATGTGAATGAGCCCTAAAAGCTGTTCTTCATGCGTATTCATCGGAGCTCCATGACAACCATGCAGTGCCATGGCTGGACCAAGACGGGCACCTCTCCTGCCCCTGCCTCAGCCTGACCCCGGATCAGGGACAACTTGAGAGAAAATAATGAGACGTATTCACTACAATGTTATGACCATGGGGGAACAGGTTGGTAGAGTGCACTGTCTCAGATGTCCAATTCCCAGGTTACGGACTCCTGATTTTCATTCTAAATTTATGTGGTGGTGAATGTCAATTTTCAGTTTAGAAAAGCCCTTCACATGAATGTGTTGTGTGACAGATCCCGGCAATCCATCCACATCCTACTATCTTACTTTAGCTTCCAGGCGCAGACGGTCAATGGTATTCTCAGCCTCTGCATACTTAGTGAGCAGCTTGTGATAATCCTCCTAGAGATGGGAGAAGGAGGAGAGGACAGGTTACGAGGTGATTAGATTCTGTACAAATACTGGAGGATGTCCAGAGCTGTGCAGGACATGGAACACAATGATATCACCTTCTTATTATATCACCCTGTTATTATATCTCCTTATTACTGCTGCTGGTATTCTTATTACTGTTCACAATTTCAGAAGAGACATTTCAATACTAGACCAGAGCTTCCCAACCTTTTTTCCTTAATGTCACCCTTTGAGAATCATGCAAAAGATTGAGGCACCCCAGTTTAAAATGTGGTCTCCAATCATATCAGAAGTCCTCTTTTTCCACAGCACTGCCCCTTCATACCATAGTCCTCACCCCCTCCCCCTTTTGCATAAAAGTCCTTACCCCCTATTTTACATTAGAGTTCTAAGCCACCCCCCCTTCACATTAGAGTCCTCAATCCCCCCCCCACCCATCTTTCACATCAGAGTTCCCCCTATTTCATATCACAATCCTCACCACCCTCCTTTCACATCAAAGTCCTCAGTCCCCCCCCCCTCCACTTTCACAATAGAGGACCCTTCTTTCACATCACAGTCCTTAGCCCCCACTTTACTTTAGAGTCCCCAGCCCCCCCCCCCTTCACATTACAGGATCCATCTTTCAAATCATAGTCCTCACCACCCTCTTTTCATATCATAGTCCTTACTGCCCTCTTTTCGTTTCCCCACTCCCAATTTTACATCTGAGTTCTCAGCCCCCCCCTCCCCCCGTTCACTCCCCCCCTTCACATCACAGTGCTCAGTCCCCCCCATCACATCAGAGAGACCCCTCTTTCACATCATAGTCCCCACTGCTCTCCTTTCATATCAGAGTCTTCAGTCCTCCCCCCTTTACATTATTGCCCCTCATTTTCATATCATAGTCCTAAACCCCCTCTCCACTTCATATGAGTCCTCACTCTTTTTACATTAGAGTCCACAGCCCCTCTTTCACATCAGAGTCCCCCTCATTCATACTATAGTCCTCACTACCCTCCTTTGATATCAGAGTCCCCACTCCCCATTTTACATCTGAGTCCTCAGCCCCCCTTCACATCACAGTACGCAGTCACCTCTTCACATCAGAGGACCCCTCTTTCATATCCTAGTCCTTACCACTCTCCTTTTCATATCAGAGTCCTCAGTCCCCCCCCTTCACATTATAGCCCCTCTTTTATATCATAGTCATAGTTGCATCAGAGTCCTCAGTCCCCCCTCTTTCTCATCAGAGCCCCCACTTCACATTCACATCAAGGTCTTCAGTCCCCCCTCCCCCTTTCACATCAGATTCCTCTTCTTTCATATCATAATCCTCAGTACCCCACCCCCTCCCCCCCCTTTCACATCAGAGGTCCTCAACCCCCCCCCCCCCCCTTCATATCAGAGTCCTCAGTTCCCCCTTACACACCCCACCTTCCCCCTCTTTCATACCATAGTCCTCACCGCCCTCCTTTGCATCCTTTACATCATAGTCCTCAGTCCCCCCTCTTTCACATCAGAGCCCCCACTTCCGAAGACTCCCCAACCCCCCTCCCCAAATTTTCACAAAAAGTCCTACCCCCCAATCTTCACCACAGAACAGCATGGCAGTGAGCTGGAACTGGATGGTACTGATGGCTAGCTGACCTGTTCCATGTAAACTCCATCCACTGTGTGAAATTACAAGATGCAACTTGGCACCCCTAATGAACCAAGACAGCAACCTGGTTAAGAATCGCTGTATTAGATTATACTGTAGATATAGCTGTTATATGTGATAGGTTGTAAACCTGAATAACCCTGCTGACTCCGGGAATCACATTTGCGTCTGCACTCCATCCTTACTTCCAACTTTGCCTAGTAGTACAGCCCAGGCCAAAAGTTTTGAGAATGACACAAATATCAATTTACCTGCAAGAAAATATATGCAGTTATCATTGCTTTGCATAAAAAGGGATTCACAGGCAAGGACATTGCTGCTACTAAGATCGCACCTAAATCAACCATTTATCAGATCATCAAGAACTTCAAGGAGAGACGTTCAGTTGTTGTAAAGAAAGTTTCAGGGCACCCAACAGAATCCAGGACTGTCTCCTAAAGTTGATTCAGCTATGGGACCCAGGCGCCACCAGTGCAGAGCTTGCTCAGGAATGGCAGCAGCAGGTGTGAGTTCATCTGCATACACAGCGAGGAGAAGAATGTTGGAGGATGGCCTTGTGTCAAGAAGGGCAGCAAAGAAGCCCCTTCTCTCCAGGAAAAACATCTGTGACAGACTGATATTTTGGTACAGGGATTGGACTGCTGAGGACTGGAGTAAAGTCATTTTCTCTGATGAATCCCCTCTCCGATTGTTTGGGGCATCCATAAAAAACCTTGTCCTAAGAAGAAAATGTGAGCGCTACCATCAGTCCTGTGTCATGCCAACAGTAAAGCATCCTGAGACCATTCATGTGTGGGGCTGCTTCTTAGCCACGGGAGTGGGTTCATTCACAATTTTGCCGAAGAACATAGCCATGAATAAAGAATGGTACAAAAACATCCTCCGAGAGCAACTTTTCCCAACCATCCAGGAACAGTTTGGTGATGAACAATGCCTTTTCCAGCATGATGGAGCACCTTGCCATAAGGCAAAAGTGATAACTAAGTGGCTTGAGGAACAAAAACATCAAATATTTGGGTCCGTGGCCAGGAAACCTCCCAGACCTTAATCCCATCAAGAACTTGTGGTCAATCCTCAAGAGGCGGGTGAACAAAAAACCCACAACAATTCTGACAAACCCCAAGCATTGATAATGCAAGAATGGGCTGCCATCAGTCAGGACATGGCCCAGAAGTTGACTGACAGCATGCCAGGGTGAACTGCAGAGGCCTTGGAAAAAGAAGGGTCAACACTGGAAATATTGACTCTTTGCATAAACCTAATGTAATTGTCAATAAAAGCCTTTGACACTTATGAAATGCTTGTAGTTATACTTCAGTGTACCATAGTAACATTTGACAAAAAAATATCTGAAAACAATGAAGCGGCAGACTTTGTGAAAATTAATATTTGTGTCATTCTCAAAACCATTGGCCGGGGCTGTACGTCAGTACAAATGCACAGAATTGCAGAATTAGAGTAGAGCATCTGGAGACTTTATTGAAATAAGAACCTTAGAGCCGCAGCAAAAAAATCCTTACGGTCTTTCACGCCATGGTGCTTAGCTGAGCCTTAGGACTAAGCTTCATAGCATGAAATGCGTCAAGGCTTCTTTGCTGCTGTAAGGTTCTTATTATAATAGTCTCCTGGTGCTCAACTCCAATTTGCGGACTTGGGTTGTAAAACTGGCACGTAATATTAAAAGCAGGAACCAAGAGATATTTTTAGGATCTGAGCCGACGTGCTTTGGGTTTCTGCTGATGTCATCAGTTTTAGGTCTGAAACACTAGTGCGATCATTCAGAATTCGTTGACGAGTGCATTGGACCTGCAGCTGACCACCTTCTGACCTACATTTTTGATCTTGTGGAACTTGCATTACCATAGACACGTATGGAAATGAAAAACCTGCCTGACGCAAACAAATGTCCATCAACACAGACCGCTACGCTTCCAAATTAAGGCTAGGTTCACATCTTTGCAGATTACGGTTGATACATTTTGCTTTTTTTTCACACCTGTTTTTGAAATGTGTTTTTTTTTTTTATATACTTTTATACATTTTGCATTATGTACTTTGCGTGACTTTAGCTGGTTGGTAAGGAGCGGGGTAAGGAATGGGCAGCCGCTGCGTCCCCAATCCATACCAGACCCTTTTGTGTCGGGTATGGATTTTAAGGGGAATTCCATGCCAAAATTGAAGAAAAAAAAAAAGGCGTGGGGTCCCCCCAAAATCTATAGCAGGCCACATGTACTCAACATGGGGGGATGCTTTGGAGGCCTCCCCCCAAAGCACCTGATCTCCATGTTGATGAGGACAAGTGCCTCTTCCCCACAACCCCTTGCTAGGGTGACCCTGCCGACAGGCACCCGCTCCTTTTAACCAGCGTAAAGTCACAGACAAGGGCAAAATGCAAAAAAACCATCAAAATCGCAACACTTGTGTTTTTGGTAAGGTTCCATTAAATTCTATTACACGCAAAATGCAATCTGCTGCATGAAAAAAGCCCCTGACCCTTTCAAAAATATGCTCAAAACTCAGATGTGAACTAGATCCATAGGAAATCGTGTTAAATGGACTGTAGTGCGCTTCTGCAAGCCAGGAAACGCACTGAAATCCACAAGTGTGAACCTAGGGTAAGGTGTCTATTCATAAAATCTTGCTGTGCACTTGTTTCAAGTCACACATCTATCACAAATAAACACTGTAATTTGTGTAATATGTTTACTTCCTATGACTGTCAGCGCCATCTAGTGGCTATTATGTGGTATTTTCCTGAAATACCTCAACCATTTCTCAGAGGATGTTTGGCATGGGGTGAAGGACATAATGTCACAATCTCATCGCCTATTTTACTCCTAAAAACTTGCACCACCATGTGCACTGCAGTTGCAGCACAGTCCTGTACAGGAGAATGAGTCAAGTTTGGCAGGTGGTACAGCCCGCTGAATGCAACGGGGTGATCATTTTTTCCTATCTGGGATGCAAAGCAATACGCCTGGGGCATGTGTACCCCCCGTTTACCCCACAGTAGGGGAGAGCAGTTGTTGGGGTGGTGGTACGATCGTAGCTCAACCATGTGTTTACCACCCCCCAACCACAGGTGCAAATGAGGTCTTAATCTAGAAGAGTGGTCCCCAAACTTCGGCCCTTTGCTTGATTTTATCTGGCCCTTGGGGCATTATTCTTCCACTATCAGTAACAATGGGGCACTGTTCCTCCCACTGGGGCACTGAGATATAAGAAGGCCAGTGAGTGATTCCTCCACTAGCATCCACCAGCAATTGATAGATCTATTTCGGGTAGACTAATGCATTACCATTAAAAGAAAAAGTGTAAAGTCTCCATATAATTACCTGTAACTGATGAACAAGTTCGGTAGCTTGCTTTGGAGTTTTGAATTCTTGTGGTACAGTGGGTGGAATGGCTGGTTCTTGGATGGGCTTTTTAACACTGCTCAGCAGGACCTCTCTTACTATGTCTGCTGGTGATTTTAAGAGAACAGCAGCATTTTGGCCTTGGTTTTCTGGCCTGCGTGGCTGAGGAGGACGATAACTCTGCTCATCACGAGGAAATCGGACCCGGGGACCAACTTTGGAAAAATCAGGCAAAGGGTAGTTGAGCTGACCTCTGCCATATTGTGCAATAATAGGGTTTTTGCCTTTCTTCTCGTTGGAATTATGTGTGTTCTGCAGTTTGGTCAAAGAGGAAGGTGACAAAGTAGAATTAGTTTGTAAAGATTTAGTCTGGTTGGACTTCTGTGTAACCCTGGAAATCTTTCCATGATCTCCAGAAGGAATGGCTGCTAATCCTTCCCCGCTATCTGTATGTGAGGAGTCTGGAAAAGTCTCATCTTCTATACCAGGTGATAGACCCAACATGCCAAGTAGTCTAGTGTCCCATGTGCTGGGAAGTGGAGGAGACGATGGTGAGATAGCTTTGCCTCCCTGATTCCCTGGAATGTTAGAGTAATCTTCACCAGGAGATCCAGAGAGGTTGTCCCATTGATCTTCTCCTGCTGAAGTTTGATCAAAGTCCTCAAGCCTTCCATGTCCAGTTTCATTATAGTGCATGCCCAACTGCCGTGTGTTCCAGTTTTCATCTTCTTCCCCATCCCATGCCCCCAAGGAACTCCCTTGATCCATCTCATCTTCAGTCATATCCAGCTGTTGATCCCTGCTTGGAGGTCTTCGTCCAAGTGCAGAAGGCAAAGTGATTGACCTACTAGGTTGGTCCCCAAAGCTGAGCCCATCTAAACAGTTAAAAAAAAAAAACAGACAGGCATTTCATCATTATTTTTTGTTACATGTAACAGTAATATAGAATGAAACAAAACTTTCTGCCTGATGTAGGAGAATAACTTACCTGTATCATGAATGCCAATAAAAGTTTGGTTCCTTCTTTCTTCTGGCATTTGGGAAAAACCTAATTGCTCTTCCCAGCTCTGCCCACCTGACCTGTCCTCTGATGGGGATTCTGGGAACAGAATACCATCTTCATCTTGCCCAAGTATGTCTTCTATATTCATGCCTAGCATTTGTTGTTCATCTTCTTCCCCTTCTTCTTGGTTATCAAGTTCGAGTCCTCCTACCTCCAATCCAATGACTCCATTCTCATCCATATAACTTCCAAAGTGTTGATCTTCATCTTCACTATTGCCAATCTGTTCTTGCCTGTTGTAGCTGCCCATGGTCAGGGAATATAGTACAGGGTCCCAAAGTCTACCCCAGGTGACATGTCACCTGCAAACACAAAGAATATATCAGGTGGCCGGCCTTTCGGAGAGCTTCGATACTAATGAGAAACGCCTTGAACACAAAGAGCGAATGAAGATTGTTTTAGCAAACGTGTTCTTTTCTTCCTGTTTCACCCACTCACTATTTCTATTCTTCCTGTCTGCTCCTTCCTCTTTTTTTGAACAAGCTTTTTTTTAACAAAGCAATAGGTTACACTATATGAATACCTAAATGTTGCACCTACTATAAGGCAAAAAGAACACAAAGACCTGTCCAAATTACTGAGTTCAGGTATTTCCAGTTGATGCTACAGCATACAAAGAAACATTTTAGACAACTGTGCTCTTCCAGCCTTGTGGTAACAGTTTGGGGAAGGCCCTTTTCGGTTCCAGCATGCACAAAGCCAGGTTCATAAAGACACCAAACTTTCTGAAGGGCCAGTTTACTGTCCCTGAGGCTTTAGGAGGGCCAAACTGTGAGCAGTGGGTTTAGAAAATGCCCTGATGTAACTGAGAGTAAACCGTGCATCATTGGTTTTAGTACCCTATTGTTGGTATCAGTGGGAGGAATGGTTCCACATTGTTTGTATTCAAGGTACGAATGGGGCTCCATCATCGGTGTCTGTGGGAGGAATGGTGCCTCATCATTGGTGTCAGTGGGAGGAGTAGTACCTCATCATTGGAGTCAGTGGGAGGAGTAGTACCTCACCATTGGTATCAGTGGGAGGAGTAGTACCTCCCCATTGGTGTCAGTGGGAGGAGTAGTACCTCCCCATTGGTTTCAATGGGAGGAGTAGTGCCTCACCATTGGTGTCAGTGGGAGCAATGGTGCCCCATCATTGGTGTCAGTGGAAGAAATGCTACCCCATTATTGGTATTAGTGGGAGGAGTAGTACCTCACCATTGGTGTCAGTGGGAGGAGTAGTACCTCACCATTGGTGTCAGTGGGAGGAATGGTGCCCCATCATTGGTGTCAGTGGGAGGAATGCTACCCCATTATTGGTGTCTGTGGAAGGAACAGTGCCCCATCGTTGGTGTCTGTGGGAAGAATGGTGCCCCATCATTGGTGTCAGTGGGAGGAGTAGTACCTCACCATTGGTGTCTGTGGAAGGAACAGTGCCCCATCATTGGGGTCTGTGGGAGGAATGGTGCCCCATCATTGGATGGCATGGTGCCCTGAGGGCCAAGCAAAGCCAAGCGAAGGGCCACATCCGACCTTGCGGGCCGCAGTTTGCAGACCATAGACTCTCTAGTGCCCTGTACAGAGCCCTGACCTCAACTCTACCTAACGCTTTTGGGATTAATTTGAATGTTAATTACACTCCAGGTCTTCTCATTCAACACCAGTAGCTGACCTCACAAATGCTCTTTAGGCTGAGTGAGCACAAATTCCCACAGCCATCCTCCAAAATCTTATGGAAAACCTACCTGGAGTTGAGGCTGTTATAGCCATAAAAAAGAAAGGGGAAGCTCCATAATGATTTCTATGGTTTTCAAATGGATTGTCCAACTGTCTTATATGGGTGGGAAGGTCAGGAGTCCACAAATGCTTTATTATATAGTGTACATGCAGTGTTCCATAACCACCGCCAACTTGGTCAGCAAATCTATTTCAATGGTCTGACAACTCTAGTGATGAGGGTCCCTATGAGTTATTGCACTTTTCACCACCATTGTTGCTTGCACTGAATTACGTACTGTTGGAAAATGTGGCTTCCTGTTGCTCATCTTCTTTTGAAAATGCTAGTTGCTAGATTTATATCCAATCAGCTCTCAGAGCTCTCCTCACTGAGCTCTGCAGTGTGTAATTTCAACTCTCCACACCCTTTTTCTGAACTCAGACAAGTTTTATAAATTTAGCATGTTGAAAGGACATAGAGAAGAGACTACTGCAGATAAACAGATACACAGAGCTTAAACAAATCCTCCTACATACGTTGTATCACCAGTTGCCAGTCACTTCCCCAAGTTTATATAAGGGTCTACAACCACTTTTAAGTTATAAGTTCAGTGGGGTAGACTAGGAGGATGCGTTACTTACCTTACCCTTACTGTGACCAGCTCCGGTGTTCTCCTCCTTCTCCCTGTGGAGCTCTGAGCTGTGAGTGATCCTTGAATGTGAAGGAGCCAGGAGTGTGACCTATTGGCCCGGAGCACCTTAGAGGTTTTCACGGGACTGATTGCACACATTAGGTGTGCTTACAAGCGTGGGAACCAAGTTAAGCTTCCTGCACCCTTAGATGTAAAGTGGAACTTCACTCAAAAAATAAAGCACCACTTATTGACTTATTAGCTGTTGACTGCTAATTTTTTAAAAACTTGGTGGAGTTCCTCTTTCACGAGGAACTTCATGAAACGTGAAGTCATGAGATAGACCAAACTTCAACAGATTGTCCCACTCTCCGAAGCAGGGGGGATTCCTTCATCACCTTGCTTACGTGGATGGAGGACTCTTTCCATTAAAAAAAAAAAAAAAAAAAAAAAAAAAATCTATGGTTAGCTTAACTCTTGCAGTGCCAGGGGGTCCCACTGTAAGGTCCACTTTGCTGAACTCTCGGAGTTTAGCTTTTAGCCCCTGGTCACCTGGATCTACTGCTCATGAATCTTTTAGATCCTTGACACAGATAACTGCTTACCCAACAAACTTTTCTCCATCCCTCTTTCTCAATCTCCCTTTTTGTCCCTTTTTTCTGTTCTCCTCCTTTGCGTTCTCACTTTCTTTCTACCTTCGTCCTTCTACATCTCAGTTGGAACCTCGCCCTCTGTCTCACATTACCCCCCTCTCTATCCCTCAAATTGTCTCCAGTTGTCACCCTCTCTCTCGCTCCATCTCTCTCCCATTCTTACCTCTCTCCTTGCGTCTCTCTCCCGCTTACGGCCATGTCTGTTGATTCTTTAAGTCAGCTGACCAAAATAAAAGGCTTTTTTTTTTCTAACCATCCCTCCCCCCTCTGCTCCACATCCCCCTCCACCACTTCCCCTCCACAAGTGATGCAGCAACATCTTCGCTGCTAAATCTTCCAGCTGACGTCTCTGACTTCAATCATATAACTTTTATAAGTCTACGCACCAGGACTGAACAAAGGTTCCAGAAAACCACTCCCTGCTCACAGCCAAAAACCAAAGGCAGAGCTTTAAACATCTTGCTAACGACTTGCATCAGAATTTCCTGATCCAGGAAAGAGTTTCTTCATCATTTTGACATGTTGTGTTCCACTGCGAAGGGATGAAGCAAGAGCTTTATCGAAACTAGAAATTGCATCCGACACCAAGGCAGTATTTTACTTAAAGCGTTATAAAAACTCAACACCAAAAATTTAATATTTGAATATCCCAAAATGCAGGGAAAAAAAGGGGGGGATACGGGACTATGGGGTACCTAGTAAGATAAATTTACACAAACTTAGATTGTAAGCTCCAAGGAGCAGGGCCCTTCTAACCCTCTTGTATTGAACTGTATCATTGCTGTATTTTCTCATTTTGTACTTAATATCACAATAATAAAAAGCTCATAAAGATATGTGGCTTATACATACATTAACCCCCATAGAAACATATTATGGTGTCAACATTCCACATTGTACTACTGTACTATTCTCATAAGAGATTTGCAATATGAGAACATCAAAAGTATATTGAAAAACACCAAACACGTTTCGATGCATGTCTCAAGAAGACATACGCGTACTGCAAGTCGAAACGCATTGATGTTTTTCAATATACTTTTGATCTCATATTGCAAATCTCTTATTATAGTGTCAACATTCCATATTGTACTATTCTTATAAGAGATTTGCAATATGAGAACAAAATTATATTGAAAAACACCAACACGTTTCGATGCATGTCTGAAGAAGACATACACTATCTGCAAGTCGAAACGCGTTGGTGTTTTTCAATATACTTTTGATCTCATATTGCAAATCTCTTATTATAGTGTCAACATTCCATATTGTACTTCTTATAAGAGATTTGCTATGAGAACATCAAAAGATATTGAAAAACACCAACACGTTTCGATGCATGTCTGAAGAAGACATACACTATCTGAAAAACGCGTTGATGTTTTTCAATAACTTTTGATCTCATATTGCAAATATTATAGTGTCAAAAACAATTAGATTTGCAACATGAGAACAAAAGTATATTGAAAAACACCAACAAGTTTCGATGCATGTCTGAAGAAGACATACACTATCTGCAAGTTGAAACGCGTTGGTGTTTTTCAATATACTTTTGATCTCATATTGCAAATCTCTTATTATAGTGTCAACATTCCATACTGTACTATTCTTATAAGAGATTTGCAATATGAGAACAAAAGTATATTGAAAAACACCAACACGTTTCGATGTATGTCTGAAGAAGACATACGCTATCTGCAAGTCAAAACGCGTTGGTGTTTGTCAATATACTTTTGATGTTTTCATATTGTAAATCTTATTATGGTGTCAACATTCCACATTGTACTATTCTTATAAGAGATTTGCAATATGAGAACAAACAAAAGTATACTGAAAAACGCCAACATGTGTCGATGCATGTCTGAAGAAGACATACACTATCTGCTCTTTATTATTGTGATATTAAATAGATAATTTGTAATTTTTATAGTATTTCATGTAAATGTATCTTGTTACTAGGTACCCTAAAGTCCCGTATCCCCCTTTTTTTTCTTTGCATTTTGGTATATTCGGGTATTAATAGGATGTGGTACTGTTTCTATTCAGGTTCAGTATAGGAACATATATTACAGCTTATTAATCATTAGATGTGGTGGCTGCATTAGTTTTCTTTTTTAGGCTTTTCCCCTGTTTTGACCTGGTGATCTGGCCGGTAACACACCTCCTGTATTAAAGCACCCCCCCCCACTCTGGATGAAGGAGTACAAGGGTAAACTTTTGGACAGCAGCATTGTCAGTCTGGGGTAGAGGGGACTGTTAGATGTACTAGCA